CTATATAAGGCCTGAATTTAGAACAAAGATTCCTCAGCTTAAATATAAAAATTGAGTTCACTATTAGCAGTGCCTGCATGAACTGACCTTGCGATACTGGGACCAGGGCAGATGATTGAGATGGTGGCCAGGCCAAGCGCGGGACGGCACGCCATTTGTGCATCCGCAAGATCGATCTTGGATGGAAACTGAGAGAATTGCAATCTAGCAAATGCAATACTAGAAATAGTCAAGGAGTCGACACGGTACTGAACCATGGTTGGCACTCAATAGCCTATCAACGCACAACAGCATCTGAGATACTGGGCTACACGAGCAGATGTTCATGGATCTATCTGCGTGTAGCTCGGGGGCCTTAGATCTAAATCTGATATCACACAGCCCTTATCCGACTTCAAACAGGCCTCTGCGGCTGTGGATAATACACGACGACCTCAGCTATAGGTTCGTCAAAGTGCTCGGCCGGAGACAATGTCATAAGCCTTACTGGTGGACTTTGAAGGAATGTATTGGATATATGTACCCTAATCATTCATCCCATCCACACCAAGAGACGGATCAAAGAGGCGGCATTTAAAGTAATTAGCAAGTCAGAAAAATTCGGATGTCGTATGGAATACATTTCTTGACATCCAAAGTGGCGGATGAAAGAGTTGAGCCTCTTTGCAGATTTGGGAAAGATTAACTTACTCGAAGTTCCTCTCGAGGATTCAACTTAGAAGACAAGCTATGCCTTAGTTACGAATCCCAATGAATCCCTCAGAGCAGCCGCCGCCGCCGCCGATGCATTTTGGACGGTGAAGCGAATCAACACCACTCCACTTGATTCAGCACAGAATAACATACACAAAGCCATAGAGTAATCCCGATTTTCGGAACTGATTATTGATTTGTCTATTCGTTGCCATCGAGACTTCTCCTCCTTGGCTTCCTTTGAACCCCTGTCGACACATGGTTCTGAACCTGGCTTATCGAGCCATGTACCCCGTAGAGACGCTAAGACCCTGGCGGCTGTTCCCCCCTGACGTTGGAGCAATCATGGCTCACGGGCGACGCGGGAACCAAAGACGGATGTAGAGCAAGGCCGAGGTAGAAAGGAAGGGCCGAAGTGGAGGCAGAGTTGATATTGTTGAGACAATCAAAGACGTTGTTTGAGGCGGCAGCCTGTCTTTCAACAGTAAGAAAGGGGTCAACAAGCCTGTTCCGAACAGGGTCATGATCATATTAATATTGCACTGACGCGAGGATAGAAGACTACTCGGTATTGTTTTATGTTCTGAACACTGTCGCTAGGCATCGTGTTATCTGACGATGATACATGGAGGAATTGTATCCTCTAAGAAGAGGACGAAGAGCAAAAGACCAGAGTGATGTCGATGCCACCTTGAGACCCCTGAAAATATCCCGACATGATTTGATGTTTCCATGATCCCTGCTTATTGGACCAGGAACGGCCGCCGGAGGGCTGGGCATTTGGATTTCATTGTATGTACTTCGTAATTGTGTTGTGTTTGCCTTAGGTACTCCGTGCCTGACTGCCTGGTATTGTACCATGCAACCAGACGTTTAGCCCAAAGGAACAGTCAGGACCATCAAAGAGTGAGTGCTATATTATTTCTATGTTAACGACTTCTCCTACCCCGTACATTGTTGATACTCAAACATAGGTTAAGGCTGAATGGTGACCACGAACACCAGTCTACTGCCGGGGGAAAATCCGTTGCTTTGGTTTACCGAACTACATACCGACAGTGCTACATGTGTACAAATGCCTTAATGTTACCTTGGTTACAAAAAATTTGGCCATCGTGGCGGGATGGGCCGGCGCCGCGTGTAAAATGGGCGACGGACTCTGCCAGTCTGTCCATTAGATAGATACCATCCATAGCAGACTATCCGTACAGCGTCCCAGATCAAACAATAGATACCTAGTTAGGTAGGCCTGGAGGGAAAAACCCAGGACCTTAATCCTGAATGATAAAAAGACTTAGGGAATGTAGTATGAGTTTAGGGTATCTCTGCTAAGCTTAGGATACCTTCTGCTGAGTTTATTTTGACACCTCACAGTAAATAAAGTCCTGTATTTTCTTGCTCTCTGAGGGTTGGGTAGTTAATTTGAGTATCTTCGATGGAGCCCTAGAGCCTGTGTTGGTAGCGCGGCGTTAGAGCAACCAGATGTGCTGACCTTGACCACGTGCTGGCTCTTTGAGAACCGACAAAACACTTAAGATGGATCGTGATTGAAATGTACTCCGAAGATCTTTAATCGTATCTAAAGCGCTGTCGATGAGGCTTGAAGCTCTTGATTCTTTTCTTTCAACTCAAACACCAGGAGGCAGCGACTACGACTACGGATAGGCACATTGATATAAGGCAGGTCTTTGCTTTTTCGATCTTGGGGCATCCCTGTAGATGACATACCGCACTCAGTGCATTACCGTGCGATGAGAAACATCCAGGCGATCCAGGCATGGGTTAATATGATTAATGGCTCAAGCGTCAGTACATATGTGCACGGTGACATGGGCACGGAACCCATGGGCGAAAGTTGGTCTTCCATTTTCGGTTTACGACCCTCATCATATCGTTTGCTTCTCAGATATAGTGTTCACAGATATCCCCCATACTTAGTTGCTAGTTCTCCTGGGACCGATCAATGTCGGGAATACCTGAAAACATGATTTATCATTAGCGGCCACACGGGCCTGGAGTTTACACCCGTATCTCATGAGGACTTGGAGGGAATAACGGGCAATCAGACGTCGGAAGGACAAAATGTAGCTGGGAGTGTTGAAGGTGCTTGAGCAGAGAGATTCCAGCGGCGAGATCGGCCCACCAAGTCACTTCGTGGCTTACGAAGGTGAGGTGAGCATTCAGATTCAGAGAATAACGTGGTCACAATCTTGCCAGAAGCGCTAAGGTATCCTGAATCGTACTCCCTGCAGCAAACAGGTTGGAACGATATCTTAGGTACATACCTACCCTACCAAGCTTACATGAGGCACCTGGGCAGTACTTAGCTTCAAACGCGCTGGGGACTGAAGAAGGGAGTTTTCTTATCAATATATGGGCTGAGTCTCTTTTACAGCTTCCAGTTCTACGTACTAAGTTCTCTGCCTGGATTTGCTCGCCAATTTTTGCCCATTGAGACACTATTTTTCTACAGCTTCAAGATCTGAGGGAAAGGAGAATTGAATTGTCCCCACGTCTAAAATGCCCTTCCGACCTGGTAAACAAGGTAAGTAGGTACCATACATGTAAGCACAGGGGTACATACCTGGAAATAATCAGTTGTCAAATTCTCCTGGCGTACATAGAGTAACATGGTCGATCCACCAGGCTTACCCGAGTCAGTTTCATCTGGGATGAACTGTTTGTTGACCGACTAACCGCCTAGTTTCTCAAAAGTTATCCATAATTGGGAATTTCCTGACATAACTTAAATGTGTGTTCAGTTCTTATTTTCTTGCTCCCCGACGTTGTTGATGCAAGATCTCAGGTAATACGGTCAGATACTAACTTTTCTTCAAACTTTGTAAGATCTCAATATGATATCTGCGCTCAGTCCTCCCACCACAGACAGAAAAGAGTAAAGACCAGCATAGTCCCCTAAAAGTTTTAGTCACTAGGTACCTGCCTAAGTACCTAGGTACTAATCTGCAGGCACGCACGCACCCCAGATACATGAGCAAGTCGGTATTGTGGTCAGCAGGGACTTACTACTATAAGTTGCCCAGGCCTTGAGATAGGTAGGGACCTAGTAGTAATCGAGGAGGTTAAAGGCCGTGTCAACTATCCGTACGTCTTCCTTTCTTTCAGCGATGCTGGTGACTACCTACTATCTAGACAAGACTGTATGGACCTGGACTCGGGCAAGTTGTGTTCGCTGAACTCTAAAATACTAGTACTGTGCATGCCTGGAGAAGCCACTGTACCGGTGCAGCGGTGCTCAGGCTGTTCCTTCCATTTCTGTTCGAGACTTTTAGTTCATTTCGCCTGACTCCTGGCTGTAACGCATCCTCCTCCGTACCTGCCTTAGTACCAGTCCACCCGCATCGACCCTCGTCCCCCCCAGTCTTCCCAGGGTGGATCCTCCTTAAAGGTGAACCTCGTGCTAACCATGTCTCGTCCACGGGCTGTCCAGGATGGATTAGGTCCAGAAGCTGAGGCCATCTCATCATGGCCCCCCTCTTCCCGCATCCATCCCATCTCCAACAGGGGCTGGTGGAGGTCGGTTAAAAGAAATCCAATCCGATGAAAGAAAGAGGACCTCATTAGACGGCCAGCCAACGAGCTGAACTACCTAGGTAACTGACGCTTGTGTCTACCTACCTTTGTAGGTAGGTACAGTAGGTATAGTAGGTAGCTAGGTACCTAGGGAAGTAAGCCGCCAACGAAAACCCTTCTTCATCAAACAACCAACCCTTTTAGGTCTCCTTTTGTATCTCATTCGACTTTCTGAGCAAGACAAGACGAGACAACGGGACGGTTGTTCCCTTCCTTTTTACCTACTAACCTACTACTCTTTGCACCTAAGCCTACGACTAACTTAAATTTGTCCTGAGTACCTTGCCTTTTAGTAGCGTACCTTAATTGGCTACTCCGATCTGCCCGTCCCGTCTCCGAGCAGCTGCCGAACCTTCCATTATCCGGCCGAGTCCCCTTTAGTTTGCTTCTGTCCAGTTGCCACAAACATCATTGGATCTTTCGACTCTTCTAATTTTCTTCTCTGCATTCCAACTCAACGGTTTTTCGGTCTCGTCTTTCTGCGCTCAGCTTGTTTTCGATTGGCCTTCTCAGTTTTGTTTCTGGGAGCTTGTTTGTTTTCTGCTAGTCTTGGCTTGTCGGGATACTCGATCCCTCTATTGGCTTCCGTTGATGATTCAGTTCTCATGATGCGATTGTGATCCCACTTGCTGGCTTCTCTTGGCATCAACCAGTCCGACTTGACATTGTTCCCATGGTTTGCGTTGCGCATATTCTTACCGTGCTCACTCACCATGGATAACTTGGAGGGGATGCTCCTGGTCCCTCCGGAACGCGGCCAGATACTTGGAAGAGCTGTTTGGAAGGTTAGTCTCCTTTATCGCGCTGCTCTATTTGTCACCCAAACTCACAGTCCTCCGAAAAAGCTGCGATATGTTGTCGTTGGTAGGCGTAACACCAGAGGTGGCCCTAGTCAGTCACAGTTTATCTCCAACGGTCGCAACAACAGTCTTGGGGGCAGTAGATCTTTCCCCAAACTACCCATAGAAGAATCCTGCATACTCATCTATAAACACAAGGTATGAAGCCCCTGAGTATCTTGCCTGATGTCTCCCAGCTGACCCCATTGGAATTTCAGGACGACAATGAGCCAATCCAGCAATGGCCAGTGAACTCTATCACCGATTGTCAGGTCCAGCAGATCAATCATCGCAAACAGGGTCCCGTTCTTCCTACTCTCGTCATCTCCGTTGCCGACAAAGAAAAGAAACGACGTTCGAGCCGGGCTGCCGGTCTCATATCATCGAGCAAAGAAGCTAGCGCGACGACCCTGTGGTTTCGCACGCCTCCAGACGATCATCATGTCAGTTTACATGAGTGGGCACGCAACATTCTTGCTCGAAAATCTCCGATGAGTCCAGAGAGCCCAATGTCACCCCAGTTCTCCAACCCCTTTGCCTCGATGTCTCGCGATGCCTCCGATTATTTCTCCCGGCCGACCAGTGGTAACAAATCTGGCCGGTCTGATCCACGGAGTCTTCAACATAAGAGCTCTATCAACACACAATCAACAACTACAACCACCACCACCACCACCAGAGAGCGGCCCCTCACATTCAGTTCCGAATCCCCTAGCTTACGATCAAAACGCAGTGATGTCTCCTCTCCTTCGAGCAACAATTATCCAATTCAGCAAATGAATTTCCCGATCCCTGGGCAGCACTACACTACGGTCCTTCCAACTGATTTGCCATCCCCTGTCAACACTACAGGAGATTATCAAGGGGAATTCATCGAGGGGTGGACCTCCGCGCAAGGAAGATCATCGACAATGAGCTCGCCAATCCGCGGTCGCAGCAGTATTGGCTCTCAGCCGCCACATCCATCTATCGCTGCGATAGAGTCTAGCTCTCCGCCTGGGCCACGTGAGACCATCTTGGACAGAGCGTTTCAGATGCGATGCATTCCTGGTTCTGAGCGAGAGGTGCCTGGCGAGGAGAAGCTGAGCTCCTTGGCTCGATTTGATGCATTGATGCGAGAAGCTGACGACAAAATGAAACAGAGGGCAGAAGCCGAACGAGCCCAACAATTGGCAATGCGCAGTGCTTTCGAGGCCTCTGACAGTTCTAGCCAGGATGATGATAGCGATTCGGACGATTTAGACGAGGATGCGTACGGAGGGGTTCCTGATCGACGGGGTCCGGCCTTGATACCTTCGACAACACAGAGGGCATTGCAGTTTATTGCTGATCGTCGTGACCCAGCACCGTTATCACCATCCAGCCGTTCTTCGGTATCGAGGACTCCGGTGATACCCCAATCACCTCCTATACGACCGCACACTGCACATGCTAAAACGAGGCCGAACCCCACACAGAGGACTAACAGCACCCCTCAAATGATTGCCAACATGGCCAGGCTGGAATTGACTGCACCCCCAAGCAAGGTGTCTGATGATTCCTCATTGAGGTCGAACGGAGACAAGCGTCTCTCCACTTCAAGCACTGCTACCAAAAGGTTGAGTTTCACCGAATTTACCAAAAGACTATCGAGCACCAGCAGCTTACTGTTCGTCCAGACGAACGCTAGTGGGAGGAGTTCCCGGAGAAGCAGCGAGATCGACCTCCAGCCCTCGCCCCTACCATGTGGGACACTGAATCCAGAAAGAACTGCAGTGCCCACCCGAGACCAAGACCAAGACCAAAACTCTGGTGATGTCACCACCAGATGTGGGTGGCGCAACAGTGTTGGCGTTGTCGGCAGAGATGGCACCTTCTTCTGAGATTGCCATTTCCAAGAGCCAACGAGACCACATACTGAGACGATCCCACAATACTCGATCCCATGGCTGAAGTTTCTACGACTCTGAAGCGATATCTAGTTCTGAATTTTGCTGTTATGCAATTGCATATGATAAGGATATGGGCAGTTTTTGGTGCAGCCTAGCTGCTTGTATGATTTTGATACCAAACGATGGCATCGTCACGACTCTTATGACGGAGATAAGGGGCCATTGGGTACGTGGCCCCAGGCGTTTACTGTTCACGGATGACTTTCTGTCTCCACAAGCATTGCTCGGTGTCTTTGATTCTGATGGGCATTGGCATATACAACCCCATAGACATCATACAAGGGTCATTCCACGGCCAGAGCATCATCCATCTAATACATTTTAAAACTACTTTTGACGTGATAGCATTGTCACGAACATAAAATCACTGGCGAATGGTTCTCAGGGGCTGGAGCTCGGAATTTGTCCTCGCTTGATGTGGGTTCTTCGCAGTCCTCTATTCGTGTTGCTGGCTTGGTTGCTCAACTGTCATCCTTTTGTCTTGCGTGTCATCCATCAATTGGATTTGCGAACCCCCTTCGGGTCCTGGTATTCGTAAAGCCCATTCAATGTCATCCAACATCCATAAAAGGATGTCCTTGGCCCCCTTTCATCATCCACATGCATCGTACCACATCCCTCTAGTTTATCGGATATACTTGGCGATGGCTTCTTGCTCCTCGGGGCTCAATCGCTCACCAACGAAGCGCTCAATTGCGCCGCCATGTCGCTGATTGGCGCTGGCCATGTACTCCTTTACCCACTTGGTGACGTCCAGAACCTCGGGGAAATCATCCTTAGCCAATACTCTGCAGGTGTTGAGTGCAGTGAAGGACATGCCGAAGCCAATGTCATCAACATCTGCTTCCGCAACGACCTCATCACCAGCGCCAGCAGCTACAGTAGGGGGGTTAACAAGTAGTGAAAGAAGCTTGCGACAGCTGTTGGCCCAGCCCTTCGCGAACTGTCGAGCAAACGATGACGAGTCACACAGAGTCTTGGTAAGAGAGACAACTGCAACCTTTCGATCAACTGGGCGTGCAAGTTTCTCTGTTTCACCAAGGACAAAAACAGGGTAGACCTTGGTGAAAACACCATCCTCTACTGAGTTTGACTGCTGAATGAAGTAGTCTGCTCCATAGCCAGCCTCAAGACGAGCAGATACAAGATGGTAGAAGCGGACAAAGCGGAGTTTCAGAGACTCGGCAGGGGTTCCTTGAAGCTTCGTGTAGAGTAGCCTGAGAATTGTACCGAAGTAATCATTAAGGGCAGCTCTGTAACCAAGGGTTAGATATCAATACAAGCATGTGAAAAAGCAAGACTTACGGCTCAAAACTCTTCACAATGGAATCCAAGATGTCAAAGGCAAGTACCTCGGACTTTTTGCCACTGAGCAGCTTCTGGAATATTCCAAGCACGGGCGCAATTTGTCCCTCGGCCTGGATAGCCTGGGATGCCCGAGGAATGACAGCCGACAAGAGACGTGTGCACGCAGGAACGTTTCCTCGAGTCTCCCAAAGTGTGGGGTTTAGGAGAGGACCTAACAGGGCCTTGTAATTCTCGGAAATGGTCTCAGAGGGGCTGGATTCGAGAAGCTGCGCAAGAATCTGGAAGACATATTGCATAAATTCTGAGGAAATGTTAGCAATACTCACAAACGTGGAACTGCGTGACCTACCCGTGACATCCTCGACCAAGATTTGGTGGAAGGGCCCCCATAGCTTCTCGTTGAAAAGAGCAGCATTGCTAGGGGCACAATATCGGACAAGAGCACCAATGGCCTCGAAATGGTAATAGTAGAAGCGGGGGTTGCTGGGGTTTTGCTTCATAACATTGGTGATGAGGATGAGATGAGTCAACACATTGTCCAGCAGAGGAATAGCTCCGTCTTTGATAACGATCAAAATTCTCATAACACAACGCATTAGAAACTCGTTCTCCTGTAGCTTGGCGGGGCTTGATTCCTTTTCAATGAGCTTGAAAAGATGGCCGAGAAGATCCTTGGCGAAGGGTTCAATGTCTGCACGAGGAAACATGGGGTTGCCTAAATCATCGGTGAGAAACAACACCCTCTCCACTGCGATAGCAGCATAAGAGTAGACGACGTAGTTATCTGAGTTCAAGTTCTGGATCAGAGGGCCTAGAGCCACTTTCCACTGCTCCTTGGACAGCTGACTTCGGAAAGTGTAGAGGTACTTGATGGCGTCGACCTTCGAGATTGGTTCAATACCTTGCGTGCTAACAAGATCTTGGGCAATGTGTTGCTCAAAAAATTCAACGACGTTGACAAGGGGGTTAACGGTCTTCACACCCTGAGCAGCAGTTACCGCACCCTTAGCAGCAATAGACAGGAAGAGATAGATAGCAGTATCCTTGGACTTCCAATCACTGCTTCCTTGAGACAAGTAGTGAGTGATATATTTGGACACCACCGTTGTCACAGGTGCTTCAAATCGTTCCTGAAGCTTTCGAAGGAAATCGGTAGCAGATCGACGACGTGAGTCTGTATCAGACCCCTCCAGATCCCTGCGAATGAATTCAATAGGCTCGTCCTCAAATAGCTCGATATCCGATTCGCGGAGCGCCACGTTCGGCAGAATAACCTTCTCGACAATCTGCGTCAAAACATCCTCACTATTGAAGATTCCTGAATGTTGTGTAGACGACGCAATAGCGGTGAGGAAATGCAGAGCTTTGCTGACAATGAGGTCGTACTTGGTCTCGGGGCCTGTTGAAGACAAAAGGTTCCACGCTTTCTCAATGAAAGGCTGACAGTACTTGGAGAAATCCTCATCGTATTTGACGGTGAAGAGTTCGAGGATCTCGCAAATATCAGCCTTGACCGTATCAACTATGCTCGTCTCGGTGTCGTCATCAGTCTCCAACAGGGGGTTGGAGTAGGTAAGGTACTTGTGAAGGAGCTCAGAGATGCTGCCGAGATTCTCCTCAAAGATAGGAGGTAGATCATGACAAGACATGTCATGGAGAATTTTGATTTGAAGGTCCAAGGCCTCGAACCAGCCATGCAGCACTTCCTTCTTGTCATTGTTCTCGGCAATCTTCTTGTCGGTTGTCTAATGCGCCAAAAACCATGAGCACGAAGCAGACAAGAGTATTCACTCGCCATGACTTACCACGAGAAGTTGAACGAAAGCTTGTCCAAAGGTCTCAATCACATGATTGATCTCCATATAAAGTTCGTCTGTTCGAAAGAGAGGTCGCCATCTGGCAAAGATCGAATGTGCAACCTCGAGAACGCCGACGTTGACCTTGGGGTCAGTAGCGGAAAACCGACTGACGAGTTCCTACATCAAAAAATGTCAGTACATTATACTGTGATTGCCCATCAATATTGCAAGCTCACCTGGGTAAGGGTGTCCCATCGTCGCCAGAAATCAGAGTCTGCAATGACGCTGATAGCGTCACCAAGCTGGGCCTGAATATTGGAGGGAGATGAAATCATGAGGCCTATGAGGCGCTCCTTGATGACTTGAACCTCATTTTGAGGTAGCTTATAGTTGCCTTCCTCGTCCTACACGGAGTTCGCGATTTAGTATTCTGGGCAGGGTCGGTCGAGAAAAAGGCAAGACGGACCACGTAGTTTGTTCGAATAAAATTCTTGAAGGCTAATGCTGCAGCGAGTCGAGTCTTTGGCGGTAGGGTGCCGGAGTTGACAATGTTGAGAAGGCTGAGAGAGTACTGCGGTTTGGTAGCCTCATGCTTGAGGGCAGTCTCAGCTGTTGGTGATGGTTGTTTATTAGTTTCCAATCAAAACCGCGGGGCAACGAAGTAGTGGGACAGAGCAACGGATCAAGTACCTTTACGATGCTCTGTAGGATCGAGAGTTGCGTCAAGAAGTTGAGCGATCTGACCAATATCGGCCGCCATGGTGAGGATGTATTAATATGGTGACTCCTTAAGAGGGAAGGGTAAAGGACGAAGAGAAGAAAGAAATGAGCGGTGGTGATGGGGAAGGACGAGTTTGGAGGTAGGTAGTAATAAGAGCTTAGAGGTTGCAGGTTCAGGTTGACAAGCAAATCAAAGCTCGGGCGGCTCTAATTTTTTCTGGGTCTCCATTGGCGGGATGCTATTGGCAGTAAATGGCTTTGAAGCCTTCAGCAGCGAGCTAGCCCAGGCAGGCGAGCTGCAGTTGATGGGCTTTGAAGCTAGTCACACTAAGAAGAGCTCTAGGTCAATACCTAGGTACTCGAGGTACGGGGGCAAAAAAGCTTCCGTTTTTGTCTCAGATGACAAAAAGATCAGCGTGAGCTTGGTATAGATTTGCGAGATCCCTGTCTCATTATTTTTGACGCTTTAATTTGTAGTCAAGGAGTTTCTTTCTCCCTAGGAGCTACCTCGTTGCTATCTGCATAATAGTACGAATCGACCGTACTATTATCAAATGGTGACCTACCGTGCGTAGTAACAGGTCATCATCGATCGATGCAGAGTATTGTAAAAGATCAGTACTAAGGAATCCAATGACCAAGAATATAGGTTGGCTATATTCGCATTTCTCTGCATCAATGTGGCCTGATGCTAGAACTAGAAGCTAGGTAAATACTAACCCTTCTGCATGAATAACAACTCTGATACTGTCCCAAAACGATAGGCAAATACCTACGTGTAGCAGTTGAATAATCGTTACACTAGGCATCTAAACTAGTACTTAGTATGCATCGATCGGAGCCCATGAAACCTAGTAGTAAGGTACATCCATCTATCTGGGCAACTTCTTTTGTGGCGGATGACAGCGATACCCCAGTTGATATGCATAAACACACACACACACACATAGCGGCACATCCATGGCCATTTATTGAATTTAAAAGACAGTATATCTCATTGACTATGTATTTACTAGACTTAATGATGAAATCAAGCCACAAGATCAGCGCCATGGTCTGTCATCCAACTCGGCGACAGAACCCACACCAATACAACCGTAGCCAGAGAACACTGCAGGTACGCTGTAGCTAAGGAACAAAATATTATTCTCTACAGACTCAGGGTCCCTTCATAGTTCCAGATTGGCGCGATTGGCATGCGGTACCTTACCGCCTACAGCTTGGTGGCATGGCGTACATAGCAAACCCTGAGCTGTTCGTGTGCTTCAGGAAACAGCCATTCAAATGCCACCAATGGGTCATCTGTTATAGCTTAGTAAGGAAATCTTGCGTTTCCATTAGCTACTACCTGGTACCTTGGGTGGGCAAAAGATCAGTATTATACATTACAGGAAGTACCCTACTGCATCGATCTGCCTTGTCATTGCGTCTTCCCAGAGTTAGGTGGGTGGTATTCACCAAGCGCAAACTTTACCAACTTATTACCGGTAATGTGCCAACATCGTCTCCCATCCTTCAATATTCTCTCATCCTTCCAGCCTCATCAAATCAAATCGCTTTATACATCCATCATAGCAACTTGGTCATTGATCGAGCCCCCCGCGCTCTAGCCAGTGTGTCCTTCTACGAGTCCCGGCCTCTTTTTCTCGCCTTTGCATCCCGCCGATCTGCCCGCCGTGTGGTGCCATCCCGGATCCTCGTCCACCTCCGCGCTATTGGGTCACACTTATCGTTATCATCATTCCTTCTGGTCCCTGACTGAATTGCACGATACCTCGCAGCCGAAGCCCGATTATCTACAACCTTCATTGATCATTTAATGAACACGCCTTATCCTGTGTATACACGCAACTTCTTACAGGCCAAATTCAGGCCTAGGTAGCACATGTTTCGCCGGTGAGACTCGCTTGCGCCGTCTGCCCATTTTGAATTTGCTCTGCACACCTTGCATCCGAGACGCCGTTCCGTTTGTCGTACTTGCGACACAAGACAATTCAGCTCGGTTGTCTTGTCTAAACGCCTCGTCGAGCTCTTGAACTTGCCCAATATCCTGTGTGCCCATCACCTTATCGTTGCGACTCGTTTGACGCCCCATGTTGTCTGTTTCGTGTCGATTGATCCGTTCTGCCTTGCCGATGACAAAGTTTCTAGTGCACAGGTTTCTGTACCTTTGCTAACATGCTGCGCCGATTAGCCTCACTTAGTCCCAAAGACTCCAACGAGACTTCACACGAGCACATGTCACCGCAGCCAGGAGATGGTCCATCATCCCCAGATACGTCCCGTCAGGGTGGCCTTGCCCATGTCCTCCGGGGTCTGACAAGTTCTAAGCTCTCCAAATCCTCGCCATCTATAGCATCACCCTCTTCAGCAAACGCCCAGCCGACCGCCGAGTTCGTTCATGCTCCAGCCCCAGCCGTCTCCACCAACCCACCTCATGGGCTGTCCTCTAGTCACATGGAGTCCTTTGAGCTTCTCAAGAATGGCTCACCCAACGAGCGCATTGCTGCCGCCAACTCGTTGAAATACGCAATTGCCGAGTACCCTCTCAATCCTGTCTTGGATATTTGGTATGCTGCGAAAGACCTTATCGATCCCGCAAAACCTGCAGCAGCACGGGCAGCTGGTTGGGAGCTCCTTACGGAGTGTGTGAAGCACGAGGCCTCCTCTGATCTTGAACGGCAAGAATATTTCACAACCCTATCGGCTCCTGCAAACTCGGAGGATTTTCACCTACAGTTGGCTGCTCTTGTTGACCTAACCCGGCGGGGCCGAATTTTGACAGGCTTCGATTATGAGCTTCTTCCCCTTTTGACTAATTGGCTATGGGAATCTTATAACGTGGTGCGTGCAGCTAGAAGGAAAGCGTCACGGAGTTCAAAGGGCGCTTCTCGAAATCGTGCTGTCGCTTCTGGTGAAGAAAAGAACCTCGCTCAGTTATTCAATTTTCTCATCGACGTCATAAAGTTCAGCTTCAACAATGCAGATGAATCTGCTGTGACAGGATTGATCGATCGACTACTGGCAATTTGTATGAGCACAAGCGTGGAAGAGGATCTCAGATCGTGCATAGCGGTCATTGATGCAATTGTGACATTTGGGTCTATACCAGAAGATAAGCTCAAAGGCTGTGTTCAAGTGCTCAGCTCTATCTATTGCATGGTGGGAAGCCTTCAAAAAGACTCCTGGAACACACTCTCAAATCTGTTCAAAAGCCATAATGGACAGGCGACCACCCGCATTTTATTGGATATTCTACGAAATAATCCTACGGATGGGGCCAAGGAGAAGGATGTTAACCGAGAGATACGCGGCGCTCTTGCCGTACTGCAAAAGGTTCTGTCCAAAAGTCCGGAGAACGGCTATCCGGGGATACCTTTCGCGTTACTGGCGGATGGTCTTACAATAGTTGCGAAAACTGGCACTTCCATCAAAACATTGACAGCTATTCTTCAGTTGCTTAACGCTCTATTTGACGATGGCAATGGCCACATACATCGCTTGATCATCGACGAGGACTGGTCGGTAATACTCGAGGCTGCCGCGACATGCTCCAAACGAGCAATACCTGGGCCGCGCGACTCTGATGGATACCGGAGTCCTGTGAGGGACGAGAAGCCTGAGGAAGCTCTGAGCCGAGAACTTATAATCCTCATCAAACAGCTTGATGTGCTCATTAACCAAAAATCGGATGTGTTTATTCCTCGGGCAACCATTATTTCGTTTCTAACCGAAGTCCATCAATTTCTCCCTGACGAAACTGCATCGTCTGTCTTGAATTACTTTCAGCAGTTCAGATGCTGTTCACCTTCAGATCTCCGATGGGAAGAAAATCTAACCTTGGTTTTAAAAGGATTCTTTGGCAACAGAGATCGGTCCTCACAGATTAGGCTTCGAGCCTTGGAAACCATCATGGACGCCTACGAAGTCGTGGATCTAGTTGGCGACGACCCCGAAGAGAGTTTCATCCCACAACTAGCTAAGAGCATCCTTCAAGATGTTTCTGAAGAGATGGATGTTTTGGTCCTTGAAGGAATCATGTCGCTCATGGTTTCAGTTGTAGTATCGTGTGACATGGAGTTATTCGATTATATTATCGATGCCCTCCGAGGCATCGTCATTGGCGACAGGCTCAAATCACCAATTCCATCGTCAGCATCTCATAGTCCGTTCGCTCAAGGATCTTCGGAAGAACACCTGCCACAAGGACAGTCGCCCTCAAACGTGGTTGCCAAGGGCTACGTGAAGATATTTGTGCAGACTATGGATTACGACAGTGGGAAATCCTTGAGGCTATATCATGCGTTGATAAACATTGTGAAGTCGAGTCACTGCGAGGTCGATGCTCGGTTGACCGCTATGAAGCTCTTATTTAGGCTGCGTGCCGATTGGGCCAACCGAATTTTCATCACAAAGACACTTGAGACTAATTTTGTTGCCGCCTCCTTGTGTCGAACCCCGGAAACATACGCCAAGAAGCAGGCTGAGGAGGCTGCACAATCTATACGCTTGTTAAGAAATGAACATGTTGGGTCGTCCAGGTCTGCTCGCGGTATTTCGTTTAGCCAAGGGCAAGGCCATGAAAGAGGCATGCCCGTTCGGTCTGCAAGCGTCGCTGCTGGAAGTGGCCTACTCGGCAATAGTGGTAGTGCAGCTCGCTATCATCAACTTTGGAGCCTTCCGGACCCAGAGGCTCTGCCTGACACCGTGACCGGCGTGTTTAGTCCAGTTCTAGTTTCTCACAGCCCTGGCTCCGCTGAGCTCGTGATGGATGAAGAAGTCCAAGAGACCAAAACGAATATTGAGGCTACTGCCCTCGATATTGCCGCTTGGCTCGAGGCTGTCCTCGGCCTGTTGCACGGTTGCGACTGGGAGGTGTACAGTTTTGCACTGGTCCACCTTCCATCACAACTCAGCAACCATGCCATTTTCAGAGACGCCATTCCCCAGATTCAGGAGCTACGAAGACTCATTTGCGAGCAAATCCGAACCAACTCCTTTCAAGAGCCTCCAAATGCATCAGGGTTGAGGCGAGCTGATGTGGCGATTTGTCTCTTCCACAGTTTAACGATGATTCTCAGTTACCATGACCACTTTCAAAAGGGCGATGAGGATGAAATAGTCAAAACATTTGTTCATGGCATCGCCACTTGGGAGCGGAGTGCAAAATGCTGCATCCATGCTTTGTCTATATGCTGTCATGAATTGCCACTCTCCACAAGCAAATCACTGGTTCAGCTGTTGACCAAAATGTCTACTATCATCACCCAGCCTTATGTCTCCATCCACATCCTCGAGTTCCTGGCTTGTCTGAGCCGTTTACACAACGTGTATGTCAATTTCAGAGAAGAGGAGTACAAGATTGTGTTTGGAATTTGCATTCGCTATCTGCAATCTGTGAGGGACAAAAAGGCTTCCAACAGGAACAGTCATGCCAGTGAACCGTCTACTCCAGCAACCTCTACGGGCAACCTTTCGGATGCCGTACACCCAAGCGCGACAGACGATTTACCACAGTATGTGTATGCATTAGCATACCATGTGATACTTTTCTGGTTCCTTGCGTTAAAACTGCCAGACCGTGCCACCCTGGTTGGTTGGCTTGTCAGGAACATATATAACGAGATTGAAGATGCGCACACGGATAACGAACAAGCACTCACTTCGATCGACTTCATGCAAAGGTATACATACGCTGATGTGGAGGAATCATCCCAAGACCCTCTCTTTACATCGGATCGATTCGGAGAGATCATAAAGAAGAGATGGTTGGTTGGTTATAGCATCGTCACAGTAAACCAGGCCACGACCACTGGCTGGGCTCAAATTGTCAAGAGACAGCCTTCAGGCACCTCGGCCTTCACGATTCGAGAAACGTTTGATCCACCGCCTCCGCATCAAACACCTAATTACGTGGATATTAGCAGGGAGGGACAAGTCTCGACGAATACTATCTTGCCCAGTCACATCATGGTACAATTGATGTCGTCCATCCCTCAAGGTCATGATCTAGCGCGACCTATTCCGCTCCCTGAGGATGATGCGGTTGAAAGGGCCATTCGAGTCTTTGATCGAAGCTCTACTGTTGATGGGCACAAAGTCGGTGTCATATACATCGGAGAGGGACAGACTGATGAAGTTGAGATTCTTGGGAATGTGTCTGGTAGCAGCGATTACATGGAGTTCCTCAACAATCTTGGCACATTGACCAAGCTCAAGGGGGCAACGTTCAACACTCATGGACTCGATCGCGAATTTGACTCTGATGGCCAGTATACTTTTTGCTGGCGAGATCGTGTCACAGAAATCGTGTTTCACGTCACCACACAGATGCCTACGAACCTTGAACATGACCCACGTTGCACAATGAAGAAACGCCATATTGGCAATGATTTTGTTAACATTGTGTTCAACGATTCGGGTCTGCCTTTCAAATTTGACACTTTCCCGGGCGACTTCAATTTTGTCCATATTGTCATTACACCGGCGTCAAGGGCTTCGTTTATTGCTGCTAGAGACGCTTCCAAACACAGTCAGCCCTTTTATCGCGTTCAGGTCTTGAGCAAGCCAGGTTTCCCTGAGATCTCGCCTGCCTCAGAGATGAAAATTGTGTCACTTAAGGCTCTCCCAGGTCTGATCCGTTTGTTGGCTCTTAATGCTTCGGTGTTCTCTCACGTCTGGGCCAACCGTGAGGGCGGTGAGCATGTCAGCTCGTGGAGAAGTCGCCTCCGTGCTATCAAAAGGCTTCGAGAGAAATACACACCATCAAAATCCGGGCAAATAACACCATCGGCTTCGCAGAATTCATCCCTCGGGGGTGCGCCTCCGTTACACCAACAGCAGCAGTTCCTGCCACAGGGAGATATGTCGTCGTCGCGACCAGCCAGCACCGTCCGCGATAGCTTTACGAGTTTACGTCGTACAAGTGTAGCCACCTTTTTCACAAGCACAAGTGAGCAGACCTCACATCGATCCTCAATGTTATCATCATCTACAACAACAAACGACACCGAGATTGGTCCATTTCACGGGCAGGATTCCCACACTGACACCGTCGACTTTTCCAAGTGGGCCTAAAAATGTGCTATTGAATGGGGCGCGGGAAACGTGAAGCAAGGAGTCATTCTAGTAAAGTCATTATGTTTTCCAAAAAAAACAAACAAAAAAAAAGGGTGGAGGCGTCTGTCTATTTACAAGGTGTCATGGGGGGGGTTCAAAAGTTTTTTGCTCTAGGTCACACTTGATGTTTGTCTGTTCTATCCCTATTTCAAATCTGTTTTCTGTCTATTTCTGCTTACAGCCCACCTCGATATACCCTGGAGCTGTGTCTCGCTCGAAGTAGAATATTATTGGACTGCTAGAAGACATTTAATCGTCTAGCCAGTGCCACTTGATTTACTTGACAGTCCTTACCTCAAAAATGCGGTTGATTATTGGAGCAAATCACTTTTCTGAAAGCCTGCAGCTTACGCATCCACGTACAAAGCTCATCCGACCTGATCAGCCGATAGAAAATATTTCGTCGTACAACGCTGCATAATTGAGCGGCTGTTGTGTAACCAACGCTCAGACTGCTTAAACCCGCCTATCAAAACCCCATAATGGTTGGTGGACTGCAGTGTCTCGTTGTCACAATCCGCCTACTTGCATGACTGCCTGGGGTGTTTGTAAGACCAAACGGGCTGGCTCATGTTGATCCACTAGCAGCCAGTCAGATCACTGTTACACAAGTGCGGCGCGTGTAGTAGTTGCGGTCAAAACCTCACCCCAAAAGCAGTAGGTACTTCATAAGCTCTAGTTGTTGCTTGACATAAGAATCTTGGTGGTTGGGCGGCATACGAAGACGGTAGCACAGGATCAGAGGTTGGGCTCATTTGTGAGCAAATGAGAGCTCAAGGATGGTGACATGAGTAAAAGAGCCAATAGGGTTTATAAGATGCATGCATTAAGGGGTTATTCTGCGTTGGCAACGTAGGATAGTAGGAGCACTGCAGGCAGATCACACCTGGTGATTTGCTATCGCAGGGTTCCGAAGTTGGATGGCAAAATCCATCATAGTCTTTTGTCGCACGTCAGCCGCTGATAGAAGCGCACAATCCAGAATCGATTCACTCTGCTAGATCCCCGGTAATATCTTCGGCGTGAAAATAGGTTGTGGATTAAAACGAGACTTGTTGGCTGATACCAATGTTTGACTAAGGTAAATAGTTCGTTGCTCTTGCGTAAATAGACCCGCGCCATGATATACCTTAGGTAGTCAAATACGCCAGCCGGCGCAGTATGCTGCTGCTCATGGGGCTTCGTTTGTTGAGTCGTGTCGTGATATCTTTGAATGATGTGGAAAAAGGAGGATATAAGTTGTAACTCTGTGCCAAGTGTCGTAAAAGTCGGATATAAAAAGAAAGGTATATAAGATAGCGTTGCAAGAAGCAGTCCTCGGGAGCTATATTTGAGATTTCAGCTCGGATTAAATTCGTTGAATAATAGGTCTCCCTTCTGCCAGCTGTTTTTGACAGAATTGTTGACCATGTTCATGTTGCGTGGCCCCCTTGTGCGATAGAGATTCATCCCTACCTTAGACTTTGCGCCAAAGCTCTTTGTATTCTGCCCATTTGCAAAAACCTACCAAGGCTCATTGTCAGCAAGTGGTAGCTGCGAAAGTCCTGAGAATCTTACTGACCCAAAGACTGCAGGACATTTTCGTCCGATCTGCTGCCATCCACAAACATTCCAACCATTCCTCTCTCACTCAGGGTCTGCCGACAAGCTAGGAGCAATCTCGTAGCCACTGAGTCACGGTGATTGACCATATCCGGGTCTTCGTCTAATGTAACAGTCAGTCAAGGTCAGATAACATGTTTTGGATTGTGGCCGACCTTTGATGCAGATGCACGAAACTCCTCCAATGCTCTGTCCGATTGAGGCTGGCCATGGAATATCTGCGCCGCAAGGGCTCCCATTATTTGGAAAATATGTTATTGCTGCAGCAACTAGATTCTCCCCTTCAAGCCCGACTACAATGTCATTCATATAGCAACTGTCCATAGTTTTGGCGTATTGGTCGTACCACCCAAACCCATATCTCTTCTGCGACTCCTTGTTTGCCATCTCGACAACCTTCTCGTAATCTGTTAGCTGGCATGGCCTGAACGTCAAGCCAGCGGAAGCCAGATCAGGAACTGGATGGTCGGCAAATCTCAACAGCCAGTCGAGCACCCGCCGCCCGTTTCCAGGTGTTGATTCCTTCATGTTCCAACCTCGTTTTTCGAACCACTCCGTATCGGCTTCGGGTGCCGGCAGACCGTAAAGCAACCTTGGAAATGTGCTTCCAAGTTGAATGATTCCGACACCTCGAATCTTGTTAAGTTTGCTCACGACTTCGTTGTGGAGGAAGCGCCCAACACCTTGACCCCGAAAGTCTTTGTGAACGATGATAGCAGCTACTGATCCAATCAGTCGGTCACCGCTGCTATCCGTAAACGTTGTGAATGTTGCACAAAATCCAACGGCCTGCCCTTGATTGGGTTCTCTGACCATGTAATGCATGGCATATCCATCGCGTTTCAAGAGAGAACCAAGAGTCGAGCGATTTAGATAGAATTTGGAAGGCAAACATGCTTCCCATAAAGAGTGGGTTTCTGGAAGATCTTTGTCGTAGTCCCATTTTAGGAGCGACCAAGTTGGCGGAGGAGGAGAGTTACCGGTCGGCGGCGTGGCCTCTGTTGCCGGTCGTTCACTTGTCAAAAGAACGGCGACGGCTTGTAAGTCTGCCGCAAAGTACCCAGGACACTGAATGATAGTTGGGAAACCATACTCGCGGGCCCCCTTTTCCGAAACTTCACAGCAGGCTACAAGCACCAAAGGGCGTTCTTCACACACCTCGCGAGCAACCTCGGCGAGTTCAAGCTGAAATAAACCTTCCTCTGTCGAGAAGCCAGTCAGCACGAAGATAACGACTCGTGCTCTCTTGATGAATGCCACATGAATACCGGTAATTCCACGCTCCTTAGTATAGGGAACATGCCGGATCCATGGATGTGTGCGTGCAAGTGCTTTGCCGAGAGGCTCGAAAGGGTCACTTGCATTAGCAAGACTCTGGTCTAAAGGGACAACAGCAGGTGTTAATAACAAGACCAAATCCTCGTCACCTAGGTTCTTTTGAAGAGGAATCAAGTCTTGCTGATCCCATAGCAAAGTAGCCGGTGAGCTCTGGCTTTGTATAGTTGACATGGTTTTCAACTGTGTGTAGGTTAGTGGTATCGAAACTGACGATACAGTTACATGGCTGATTTGGAACCGTCGATGAAGCTACTCGTCTCGGTTAAGTGCGTAGTCTCCACAAGAACCCAACCCCCTTGGGCATAAATCAGCTTCCAAAGAGCAAGTATGAAACAATATTGGAGAAGAAAGATGCGACGAATTGTTGAGCTTGTTGTGAGCGGCTCCGCAGATAGGGACGCCGGTGAGCTAGGAGAATGGCTCAATGATGAAAGGACTCAAGAGACAGAATGGAAACTCAAACTCATAATCGAGGCCGTCTAGCTGGATAAGAAGCTCACGACAGAGGAGAAGAGGAGGATATGCTTTGATAATTTGAATCTGGATGGGTAGGAGAATAAGCAATAGCAATAGCAATAGCAATGCAGTGAGTGATCTATAAATGCGGGTTTTGTGACGACGATGGCCTTAGGGCGCCAGGTTTGCTGGGGTCCTGCGACAGTCCACCATCCAGACTGCTGGGACTGGGAGGAGGGTTTAAATGAGTGTGGGGTTAGATGGGACGAAGGCTGCGACACCAATTGGTACAGTTAAGTGAGTGCTGTACTATGTACGAGCAATCAGCCGCCTCGAAGCGCCAGGGCTACACAAAGTTCTCGAGCTGCCAGGGTATGAGGGCATCGGTCAGGATTAGCTGATCAAAAACATGAGCCTCGGCCAAGGCCGGTCGGAGGCCATGGCGAAGAGAACATCCAATCCGCGTCGATGAGCTCCAAAAAGTCGACGAAATGGGATTGCCGAAGGCGAGGATCCGTCAAGACTGCGGAAAGACGCCCACGAGAGGCTGTCTGTCTGATGGTAACACAAAGACGCACGTCGGCAGAACCGGGTGAGCTACTTGCAGCAAAGTGGCATGGATCAATGATAACGCCCCGGCACGAGGTCCAAAAACACGTTCGCCATGACTCACGGCAACAGGTCCTGAGACGAGGAAGGAGAATAATTAGAACGAGACCCGGGTGCAGCAAACAAGTACATAGAGATTGCACGTCAGTCGATGGTATACGGGCTTGATACAACCATTCCAGCCTGGCTGACCCTTGTCTTGTTGAGTCTGGAAAAGAGGCAGGAAACTATAGGGTGAAGTCCCTCTATTCTTATTCGGGCGTATTAGGGACATTTCTGAGCAATGCGGTTTGCTAGGATAGGTAGTTGACATGTCGGATCCGTTGGCTTGATCAGGGAATAACATAACGAGACCACAACGACATGCGGGCGGTTGCACAAGACTGTCGCACTAGATAATGTGGGAGTTATCGTATAGGCCGGGGCTGTACGGAGTAGCAGGCTGACCGCCATGGCCGCCATGGAGATGTTGTTTTCTGGTGTCAGCAATGGTTTGGCTGGCCCATGGACAGCCAGTTCAGAGATGTAGGCTATTGGATCGTGCCGTAGTGGTTGTCAAGGCAAGGATGAGGAAAGACTGGTGAGAAATCGAATGGAGTTGCATAATAACAAGTCGATAAAGGAGTAAAGAGATATGAACAAATAAAGCCCCATCTTTCCTGCCAAGCATCTAGCAATAACCTCGAATAATAAGTTGAGGTTGTAACTTTGATGGCCAAGGTACCGACCTACTCGGTAGGAATCAGAAATATTAGTACCTAGACAGTGGCTAAGAGTAATGTTACTGAAGGTTACGGCGGGGACGGGCCGTTTTTTACCTTGTAATGGTGTAGGCAAGCTTCAAAATCAGGCAAATCTGCCACACGCAGTGTGAACTCAATTTACCTTGCCTTGATAGATGATGGCTGTCTGCAACCTCAACGGCCCTGAGGTTGGTTGGAGTTACCGTGTTACTGATGCCGCGGCAAATGGAGGCTAGGCGAGTTCTTATGTGCACTCCGTACCTTGGGGATTGAAACCTGGATATGTCATAGCACTGCGCGCGCCCAAACGATGAAGATGCGTAGCAAAATATGCTAGAGGATATAAAGTGATAGATCAAATAAATAAACAAGCAAGCTATTATACTGAAGGATATGCAGATCTGCTATAATGAATTTCTGGTACACGTCTACACCTAGGTGCCGTGTGCCTAGGTGCTGGTGAATATCAGTAGAACCTTATAAGGGCGCTGTACCAAAGCGTGACGTTCGAGAACCGTTATGTTGAACTCAAAATACACTCCGAGTGAGGAGGAAAAGGCCCTGAAAACCATTGAATATATTCTTCAGAATTGAGGTTGAAATAAGCTTCGTTCGTATGCCTTCATTTGTCCAACGTTCAACGACTTTGAGAAAGTGGGTTCCCATAAATCAACACGAGACCTTGATAAAGGGTATTAAAATAACCTAAGTAAAGATATCCTAAATTTATCCCGAATTTATGCCAAGTTACCCAAGTCTTTTCATCCTTCAGGATCATGATCCTCACCTGTATTTCCTCCCCCAGGTACCGCTGTACATAGACGGCGGACCTACAGCTTCATGCCCCGCTCCGAACGAAAACCCACTCCAACCCCGAAAACCGTAAACGCGTCTCCTTGGCCGACGCGTCTTCCGTCTTCCGGGGCGTCCCACTCATTCACTTTCAACCCAAGGCTGCCGTTCGGTCCCGGAGGACCGCATGTATGTCTCTTTGCCTGACATCTACTGAGAACTGCAAACTCGGGAAATTCGCCAGCATATGGAGACGGATATGGATCCCGCCTCGGCGGGCCACCAGGAGATTCGTCTTCTCGTTGACGAAGTTATTGAATGTGAGTGAGACTGCCCGAGCAATGTACAAAGGCCTTGACTTACATTCCCCGTAGCATCCAAAATACCCGCCAAAACACGCCAGACCAACGTCAAATCTACTATTGCTAGTCTTACCTCACTATCGTATGAATGGGGCCTTTTGCCTCAGACCCTTGATGATCTCATCATTCTCGTCACAACTCCAAATCACCTTGACCAAGCAAGTCAAGCTACTATCATCCGAAACCTGTATCCCGTGGCACCTATCTCTCGAAAATCTGTTCTTCAAGTCATCTCGTGCCTTGGACACGGAGCCCTCAAGCCATCTCTGACTCTCCAGGCTGCTCTTCTCAAGTGGCTCATCACAGTACACCACACTTTGGAGTCACCACAAACGCTTTCTCAAACCTACTCGGTTCTATTCAATCTCCTCGATACCGCGGCCACTCGGTAAGTTTTCTTTTCTTTGCCGCGAGCAATCCGCTAACTCTGGCCAGACCTAACCTCAGCCACCTCCTGGCTCTCATTACCAGACGCAAACATGTCCAGCCTTTCAGAATACAAGCCTTGTAAGTATTGCAGTTGAAGACGCATGGTCATTCGCTCACACATCACAGGCTTAGCCTTTCCCGGCAAACTGGACATGACCCGTCCTTGATCGGTCTTCTAAGAGTTTTCAAAGACTATTACCCTGAAGTTATTGTTGGAGACGCGGTTCGGGGCAAAGCATCCTCCTTCAAGGCTCGTTTTTACTTGTCTTTTTACTACTGCCCTTACTGACCATTTTTCAGCACCCTGATCTGCAATGGCGAGCAAGGCTCGACGAAATCCAGGATGCACATCTTCACCAGACAGAAAAAGGCACATTACGACCTCGAGGTGGCTTCCGTGTTCATCGCCCTATAGGGCGTAGTACTAGAAACAGAACAATCCCTGTAGTCCACACGTCTTATGTGGCAGAGGTTCGTCTGCAATAACGTGCTGTGCTGCGTGAAAAAGCACTAACTTTGCTAGAATTCTGTTACAATAGAGGAGATCGAGAATGTTGCAAGTTTCGTCAAGAATCTTGACAAGCTCGAACTCCCCAATCAACTAGTGGCTGTTCTGGCAGATCCTTTGTTGCAGAAGCTCATGCTTCTGAGGCCAGACGGCGAATCTGAGCAGAGACTAGTCAACTGGCTCAATGGTGTGCTGCAAGATGTTCGTGATGGCGATGCAGACGAAAGCACCTTCTTTGACATGCTGGATATCCTACGGGAATATGTTATTTCTACCAAGGTATGTTTCTTGTTGACTTGGCTAAAGGTAAATCTGACCAGGACCAGAACCTTCTTCCTCTCCTACTTGACTTCTTTGCACGCTTTCTTCCGCTTTGGGATGGATCTGGACGTCGCGATGCCATATTTGAGATCTTATCTTACTCCCCATTACTGGACTTCCAAGGTCAGTTCAAGCCGCTCCAGACTGACTCGTCACGCTGACACTCTCCAGGGCTATACAAGCACATCTTTCAGCCCCTGGAAGCTGCCACTCTTGACAATAGCCCGGAATCTCTGCTAGCGCTTCTCGCCCTGTACAAGAACCTTCTTCACCACTGGACAGTTCTGCTTGAATCCAGTGACACAGTACCAGACCATGCCAGTGGGACTATCACAGCCTTGGTCCGACACGTTAATCCACTTGCCCTCACACTCTGCCAAACATGTCCTTCTGTCTCATCACGTTCTGCAATTCTTGACTTCTATGAGCGAAACGCCAGACTCGTTAGTCATCAGGTCCTCAAGCACTACATTTGCATCGAACTACCCCCTTCATCCCTCATTTACATTCTCTTCTTCAGCAGTTCTGCAGCCATTGTCTCACGCATGTGTGCCATTCTCGCCTTTTACAAGAAGGGTTTCGAGATGGCCATGCTCACCAAGCCGGGGCGTGAGAAAAGTAGCCGCATTGACTCTACATCATATAACAGGACTTTTGTCAGCCTTTTCAATGGCTACCTTATGGACATGTGCAATTGCTTTTGGCGTGGCAGGGCTTTTACTAACAGTGACCCCAACGCACTTGGATGCATGATTCCGAGGAGCCTCGTGCCTGTTCTGTCATCGTATGTGACTTCTGTGGATGAGGCTCATACTCTAGCATCTCTCTTCTCATTGTCACACTCGCCACTCCTGAGCTTGCAAAGCAAACGATGTATTAGAGGTCTTGAGGATGCCGAAGTCGATAGCGATTCTTCATTGCGCACCAGGCATGAGGGACCGCCGACACAGAGTAGCCTTGGGCAATTGGCAAGTTCCGGGGGGCTACGCATCTCGTGGCAGGATTATAGGATCAAGGTGCTCGAGGCGCTGACTGCTAGTGAACTCGGAGGCATTACAGATCTTTTGAAGAACACAATGACAGTTCTGAGGAGATTAATAGACGGCGAGGGCAGCTCCAGGCCAACCACGTCGCAGTCATTTCAATGAATGGTGATGAGAAAATGAATATCTTGTCCTTTGTACCATATGTTAAATTATGATCAGCCTGGTCTAGTTTGGCCAACTCTTGGTTGAAATTTACCGTGCTAAGCACTTCCAGTGCCATATCGTTCCGTCGTCATGCATCAAGTGTTGAAAAGAACAAACGCCGCAGAATACAGGGTTGAGGACTGTTTCCCTTTGAGTCGAACGCCATGCATGAGTGACCAATGCCACCAAATCCTCCCCGTATTGCGACCCTACGCCGAGAAATGCAGTTGAGTGCTATCCGTCTTTCCAAACTCCAACCCGAAAACAAATGAAATTCGGGGCTATTGTTAAGAATGCCCCGAAGTAAGAACCTCCGCAAGAAATAGTTCATGCTTCGCGATGCTTAGACTCGTCGCCATAACCACCGATCTGGATGCCTCCAAACCCATAGGTCTTGCCTTCAGGGCCACGTTTCATATTGCTCCGTGGCCCCCGCTCCTTCAAGTCCTCTCGAAGCCAGCTCAGGACAAGCTCTCCGAGACGGCTATTGCCGGAGGCACCCACAGTACCATCGATGGTAGCGAGCATCTTGTCAGCCTCGTCCCACTCCTTGACAGTACCAAGGTGCATATGAGCAAGATGAGTCGGCCAACCAGCGAGGTTGTCCAGAATATGAGTGGCGTAGACGATGGTACATTCCCGAATTTCCGTCTCACGCTTGAGCCAAGCCAGAAACTCAGCACGACTCAGAACGTCGAGATCGACAGTGATTTCATCGAGGAGCAGAACCGTCCAGGGTCTCAGTAGACCCATGGCAAGCTGGACTCGACGACGCTCACCATCTGAAACAGCATGCATACGCCAATTAGTGTCGACGTCAAGCATGGCGACCAGCTCGTCTCGTCGATCAGGGTATGCATCTCCACCAACAGAGCGAAGCAACTCATTGACGCCGATGTCAGTTCGGACAATGGGGTTAAGGACCCATTCCAGTCCAAGATAAGTGACACCCTCAAGACCCTCTTTGAAGGGATCTACACCGCAGATAGAGATGGTGTCACTGGGCGCAAGACGTTTGCCGGCAAGAAGACGAAGCAGAGTTGTTTTACCGGCTCCATTAGCACCAATCAGAAGGGTACGAGACCGCGGAGGAAGATCCAAAGTGATGCTGTTGACACCAGTCGAGTAGTCGGGAAAAGTGTATGAGAGGTTGTTGACTTCAACACGGGGAGGCTTAGGAGGAGGTGTCATGATGAGCTCCAGAGGTGGTGACGTCTTGCGGGAGAGAACGAGAGAGGCAGAAGGATGGCCAAATTGAGAGGTCAGGGCAATGGGAAGAGGATTGAAAGTATTCCTGGAACATAAATTTGTGAGAATATGATATTTATATAATCAGATAGTACGTGTCATGAGAATGGCGAGTCAGAGATTTCTGTTCCCCCTCCAAATTAGGTACAATACGAAGATTGGTTACCTCAGCCGGTGACAGGCGGGATCCGTTGGACATGAGGATTCCTGCCCATCACCTGAACCCCGCTATCGTTTATGGCCGCACTCCACTATCGTTGTCGTTTCCAGTTAGTGAACCCTCCGCCTGAGATCCAGCACGTCATGACACCTGAGACCCATCGAGTCCCTTGTTAGTGGAACGCTTGCCCACTAATGGGCCCTATCAGTTCCCTTATCCGTTGCCTAGCCACTTTACGCCAACTCGCGTCTAATCGTGGGACCAAACTTCTTCACGCGTTTTCATCCTACAGGTGGAAGCTTCAATTTAGCTCTTTGTCAAGTCAATTGCACGACTACGATACACGACAAAACTTGCCACTACCTGAAACTTCCTGTACACCCTTCAGCCGCTTCATTTGCACCGTCAACCTGCAAATACTCCCATTTCGGGACCACTCAACATGGTGACCCTCGAAGATGTCGAGGGGAGCCTCTTGCGAAAGCCGTCGTAAGCTGTGCTTTGTTACCCATCCAAGCAAGCACTGGACTGACTCGAATCCCTCAGTGAAACTTCCCACCAAGTCCCTACCCGGAGCGTCTCCGTTTACAAGCCCCTACAATCCTTTGTACTCAACAAGCAACGCTCTTACCAACAGCAGTACGGCGATATGTACTTTTTGCGCCTCACCAAGATAAAACCAGCTATCGACAAAGTAGCCGCAGAGGCCTGGACAGGCACAACGATTGGTGAAGAGGAGGCACAGAGAGTTGAAAGAGTGCTTGATGTTCGGCAGGGAGAGCTGTGCTGGGTAACTGGCACCGTATACATGGAGATGCCACTGAAGCCGAATATTCTGGAGGACGTGTCCAAGGATGTATGCCATATCAGTTGCCGATCGACTATGAAATGGAATGCTAATGTGTCCGTAGCGTTGGATCTCCGCTCCTATTCTGACACCGAAATATTTCTCTCAAGACGACCAGGTCATGTTGGAGGATGAGTCGGGCCGCATCAGGCTGGTTGGCGATGTGCTGAAGACCGTAAACTTGGTCACTGGATGTATTATCGGAGTCATGGGCACCGAAAACGCCAACGGCGAATTAGAGGTCATTGACATCAAGTTCCCTGACCTGCCTCCGCAACCTGACCGTTGGAACCTTTCGAAGCCCAATTCAGAAAAGGCCAAGACAAAGGATGAAGATGAGGATATGGCTGATGCTTCTGAAGCCAAGAACGGCAAAAGCAAGGTTGCTATTGTTTCTGGCTTGTCTTTCTCAGGCACTGATGCTTCTCACGCCCTTGAGCTTCAACTCCTTTCCGAGTACCTGCTCGGTGAAGCTATGACCCCTTTAAGCCAGATCGATGCCTCTCATATTAGCCGCCTTGTCATAGCTGGAAATTCCATCTCGACAACAGACCGCAAACCTCCTGCTGCAGACGAGGTACTTCCAGAAAAGAAAGCCCAGAAGAAGTACGGCTACGACGCCAGCGCCTACAACCCACTCCCCTCCCAACTCTTCGACGCGTTCATTGCCGAACTTCTACCATCCATTCCTATCACTATGCTCCCTGGTGCTCAGGATCCAGCGAACGCTAGTTACCCCCAGCAACCTGTACATCCAGCAATGTTCCCTTCGGCACGAGCGTATGCGCGTGACCCAACAGCTCCAGCCACCCAACCAGGCTGGTTTGACACTGTCACAAACCCATGGGAAGCGGAGCTCGAAGGATGGAGGTTTCTTGGTACTGGTGGCCAAAATGTCGACGATGTTTTCAAGTACGTCGGCAGCGATGACCGTCTTGGCATGATGGAAGCTATGTGTCGATGGCGTTGCTGTGCCCCGACTGCACCCGATACGCTATGTGAGTACATGATGACCCAAATTTTGATGTCTCGAGGCTAAAACATTGGACAGGGAGCTACCCGTTCCAGGACGATGACCCTTTTGTGATGCAGACTTGCCCACACCTCTATTTCGTCGGCAACCAGCCACACTTCTCCACCAAAGTTATTCACGGACCTGAGGGTCAGTCCGTAAGACTTGTGACCGTACCGAGTTTTGCAGAAACAAAGGAGCTGGTGTTGATCGATACAGAAACACTTGAGGTGGAGAGGGTCAAGATATCTTCAACATAGGTAATGTGATCAAAAGATGGAGATGGTGAATAGAATAGGTATGGCGAGATACCCCGAATCGTAGTTGATTAAGTACGCTAAGCTATCTTTGAGCAAGTTGATTGATCATCCATCCGTCCATTTCTTATCAGAGTATTCGCCTCGACTTGCCCCTTACTCGTTGCTTCCACTAAGGCGCGGATCTATCTTCTATCAATCATAGAAATCCGTCTTCAGGCTCGTAGTCCGACTCCTGGTCTTCGTCCTCTTCGTCCTCACTCTCCTCCCACTCATCGTGTTCCTGGATGTGCAAATCGTCTTCATCGTCGTCAGTCGCTCCAGATAGAGCACCGCCAGCGTTGCTCTGCTCGCCATCCTCGTTCTGGGCGGACTTCTCGCAAACCTGGAGAATGAATTTACTGAGCTGGGCCATTCTCTGTTGGATCCAACAGAGCTTGTTGTAGCGGAAGTTCCTCATCTTAGCATCCGTTCTGAAAAGATCCCTGCTCTGACCTTTGGCGTCTCTGTCATCGCTTTCATCCTCTCTTTTGTCCTCAAGCGCCTGCAACACGAGTTGCCTGTGAAATCGCAGTTGGTGGGTACGAAGAATGAGATCAGTCGAGGAGGGCCAAGCACCATTGCTGAGATGCTCGTTCAAGATCTGAACATGTATTCTCTCACAAGGTAGTGCCCTCAATGCGATCATCAGCTCCGAGGTTGGCTCGAAAAAATCGACAAAGGTAAATTTGCCTTGTTCGAGCCTGGGGCTGATGACGATCTTGAGCGTGTGGATGTTGGCATTATAAGGGGTCTTGGCAAACATCTTGATAGCATCGACCATGAATTCCTTCGTAATGGCAGTGGAGCGACTGGGGTCGGCCTTGACCGTGATGAAGCGAAAGTATTGAGCGTATTTGGCAGTGTCGATAGTCCCAGGCTCGTGGACTGGCAGTGCCAAAGGATTGGCGTCTCTGTCGGCGATGTTTTCCTGGTCTCTCATGCCAGGCTCAGGGACATATATGTCGTCATTGACTAGGTCCTGGATGTTGGCCATCCCGTGATATTGAGTAGGCGCATCCCGAAGAAGGTAGAGAAAGATATTTTCGCCGTACATGACGCCTCTCGCTTCGACAAAGACTTTCTTGCACACCATGAGGATGCTGATGTCAAGGCCCGGGTTCTTTCGCTGGTACACGCGCCTCCAGCTATCGTAAACAAGAATAGGTTTGTCCGACAAAAGAAGACCTCGATAGATTTGTTCACGAACCTCGGCGGGAAGGCCCATGAAGCTGAGACGTCTGGGGTTCTTGACCTTGATCCTGATGGGGAGTCTAGGTCGAGGCCCTGGAGCTGGAGCTGGAGCTGGGGAACTGCGGATAACCCCGCGGCGACCTCGTTGAGCACGGTTTCGATAACGGGCCGGAATGGGATTGATATTCCTCGGCAGCAGCACCAGAGCTCTACGTCGACGCGAACTTGGATCCCGTTGGTAGGCGTTGGGGATAGCAGGAGGAGGTGCCGTCTCATCTTCGTCAAACGAGTCTTCTTCAGGAGTTGCCTCACGTGGTCCCCAGACGAATTGACTTATGGGAATTCCATACTTCTTGGTGAAATCTGTCAAGAGCGGCGCTTCGATGATCACCTTGTTGTTGTTGGATGCTTTAACTCTCTGTGAGTCTCTGTCGGGCTGAGGCTTATGACGCTTCTTGGGGGGTTCGTTGTTGGCGGCCATCGAGCTTCTCTTGTTTCCGATTGAAACGGCCGAGTCGCTCGAGGAAGATGGGCTACCTGGTGCAGACGGGCTACTTGAAGAAGATGAACTGCTTGGCGAGGATGAGCAGGTCTTAGATCGTATCACCTGGCCAACTTGAGCCCTGGTCATCGTTATCTGCTTGACATTGCTCGTGGGCGCCATGGTGTGCAATGTAGGTGCAGAAGATTGAAGGAGTTGGATAGCTTTGAGTGAGGGTGAGGAGGGAATGAAATGAGTAGTGTTGGGCAGAGAGGTAGTGGTGTTGTGGGGAAGATGTGAAGAGATGAATGTGGAGGAAAGGAAGAGGACGCTTTTATATTGAGATAAGGGGCTGGTGATTCACTGCTACATTTCAACGAACACTGGACCAGGAGGCACTGCATTTGATAAGTCAAGCAATCCATCATATAGTCTCAGCCATTTCTGGTTTCTATGTTTTTCTGTTGTTCCAATTCAGCCGATCAGCCCCTTTTTATGTTGACGATGTAGGAAGAGTGCAGACCGGTGTTAGCATTGCTATATCCCTAGTTCGAGGCATGAAGTCGACTTCTGCCCAGGCGTTTGAAACCTTTTGGCAGAAAAGATAGCGGCGACGGGATTAAAGCAACTGATACCGAGAAGCGACCGGGCGCAATATAGCCACGACTGGGTGCCAGCCTTACCACTACCAAACGTTAAGAACACAAGAGGCGAATCTTGACAGAAGGCTACATGTAAGATAAGCACGACAATTTAAAAGAGATGAATAACATATTGCGAGTGAGGCATCTCAAAGACATGACACCGCATCAGCGGGTGATGACAGGATCAAGTGATTTACCATGCCAGGGGAGAACTGACAAAACCATCAAAGGAGTTACAGAAGTCCAAGAGACAACACCGAGGCCATTATGGAGCATATCAAGGCTGTGGACGACACAAGCACCAATAGA